AAATGGCTAACAAAAACATGAGATAATATATGAAAAGGTAAAGTAATTGGATCAAAAGAAAATATGGCGATGGGTAGAAAATCAAGGGAAAAAAAAGTGAATGAATTGTTGCATGTTATTTTTGGTTCGAGAAATATATAACAAAGAGAATATGACAACTTATTTTGCTGTTTTTTTTCTAATGATATTACATTTATCTTGTGGGAAACGAACCATCTCTTCACGGTCAGCTGTTTCTTTTCCCGGTGTAAATAAGTGTGTATCTAATCAGCTGATTCCTTGTCCCTGTAAATAACATGGGATGTGTTATCATTATCATCATATGTTGATTGATAATGGTAATAAAGTAATAATGATAATGACTGCAGTAATGATAATAACACTCATGGTGATGCACAATGTGTATATTACCATTATCATTGTCGTTGTTATTATTACTAATATTCGTATCTTCGCTATGACTATGATCAATATTATGATTTGATTTATCATTATTATTCTGGCATATTATCCTTTTATGTTTATGTTTATTGTTATAATTATTTTTTCTTGTGTAACTGCTAATACCATCAACATGTAACTAACTATAATTATCATTGTAAGTGTTGTCAAAGTCGCTGTGTTCAATTGGAGAATAAAAACCCAAAAGTAAATTGTCATCATTTATTGAACTGTTTTCAAATAAGTACATTTGCTTTAATTGTGTCAATTATGGTTCTTTTAATTGCACATATGTACACACACACACACACACACACACACACACACACACACACACACACACACACACATACACATACACACACACACACACACGAACAAGGGGGAAAACACACCATGTATTTGCAATTTTTCATGTTACAAGTCATATACATAATCCCTCGTGTTGATTAAAACTGTGTGAACGGTGCACTGCAAAACTTTCAATCTTCGTATTCTTTTTAGAGCTCTAGGGGAAAAGAGTCGAGTCATGACGTTATTATTTTTCATCGATACTAACACAAACCACGACAAGAAAACCAGTCAGTGAGCTAGCAATAACAAACACAAGTCAAGTAACAAACACAGATCTAATTACAAACACGGACGCAGCAAAACCCACATACCAAATAACAAACACCAATCTAGTTACAAACACAGACATAGTACCAAACAAAAACCAGACCTAACAAGAAACAACCACAGAGACCTCCTGAAGGACGAACGCCACCGAAACCGCCAGGAGAACCACCAGGGGCATGGTGGGTAAGAGGCAGGTCCTTCCGCTGTAGTGGGGGCAGTAAGGGCATTGGTACGAGCCGCACACCTCACACACGTCAAGGGCAGCCAAGGATGTCACGTTGATGATCACTGTCTCGAAGTGCTCTGGAAAGTGAGGACGTGTTGGTGGTCTGTTTCTATGGGTTTATTTTTTCAATCTTTTGTTTTTGTAAAGATGGAGTCATTATTATTATTATTATTATTATAATTATTATTATCATAACCATAGTATTTATCATTGGTATTACTATAATAATAATAATAATAATAATAATAATAATAATAATAATAGTAATAATAATAATAATAACGATTATCATTGTTATTATCATTATTATTATAATTATTATTATTATTATTATTACTATTATTATTATTATTATTATTATCATCATTATTATTATCACTATTATCGTTATTTTTATCAAGTTAATAATTATTTCTTGTCTTATTTATGCCATTTATTATCTGTTATTTATAACTGCTTTTAATAATTCTTCCCTGAGTAAGGATCATTGGTTAGTCTCCCCAGTATAAAGACCCTGTCAACTACATGATGTCAACATGGCACCAAGTAGTTCGTCAAACAGTGCATGGGTGATGGTACTAATATGATGATGATTTAATCATTAATGTGTGTTATGCTCGTTTTTTTAATACCTATAATTTATGCCTGCCTTTTAATACCTGTTATTTATACCTGCTTTGAATATTTGTTCTTTGTACCTGTTTTTAATACTTGTTATTCATACTTAATCATTCATATGTGGTGTATTATCAAACATTTATGCCTATTTGAATACCTTCTGAGTTAATTTAAAAGCCTATTGTAGCACACACACACACACACACACACACACACACACACACACACACACACACACACACACACACACACACACACACACATACACACATTACTCCTAACACCCACAGTATCACCTACCTGGCGCAAAAAGTTCGAATATAGTTGCCGAACGAATTGCTGTCAGATTCGCCACTGGAAACCGACGTCTCACAGTGAACGAAAAACACTGGCGCTGATTACTGGGGACCTGTGAGATTAAAACGAGTTAGGTGTGCTTGATAGCTTGCTTGCTTGTGGTGTGTGTGTGTGTGTGTGTGTGTGTGTGTGTGTGTGTGTGTGTGTGTGTGTGTGTGTGTGTGTGTGCGAGCACTTCTTTGCATGTATAGAGGAGAGACGTACGTACTTACATGCATACATATATCCACATAACACAAACACACACTCAAAAAAAGAAAAAGATATATATATAATATATAATAAACAAATAAAACTTACGAACTGGAACTGCCAAAAGGTCCGATCTGGCATGGCGTGGGAGTTGACAAGCTGTGGAAATCTTTTTCGATTTCTCTTGACAGCTTCGTTGGCATTTGGCTGAGGGATGACGTAGCCGCTTGCCGTGTCTATCTCAAGCATGGCCGCGTGACTCGTGCTTGACACGTCCTCTGCTAACCATCTGTTGTTTGTATTCGAGGGTCATGTCATTTTCTGTACATTGTATTATTGTTATTACTGTTGTTAATATTGTTATCATCTTCATTTATGTTGCTGTTGTTATCATCATCATTTTTAATGTTTAAATGGTCATTTTTGTTATCATTTATATTACTATAATTGTCATTACTATCAGTTATCGTTATGATCGTCATTATCATCATTACGTCATTATCATCATTAACACTATTATCCTCATCTTTAACATTACTATCATCAATATTGTTATAATTACCATCATCATTATTATTACCATCAATATCATTATTATCACCATCAATATCATCATCATCATTATTTTTATCATTATCATTATTATCACCATCAATATCGTCATCATCATTATTTTTATCATTATCATTGACATTATCATTATCAAAATCATTGTGTGTTATCATTATTATTATTATTATCATTATTGCAAATATCATTTCTATTATCATCATCATTATTGCAAATATCATTTCTATTATCATCATCATTATGAACATTATTATTATTTATATCAAATGATGAACATGATTAATCCTCTCTCCCATTATTGTAATTACCAGTTACTCATCCCCATACTAATTAGCAATTACCCATCCTCACACTGTCCTAATCAACAGTGACTCATCCCTGACATTATTCATTTGAAACCATAAATTTAACTCATCTTCAATCATATCATTTTAATAACCAGTCACCTATACTCACTCATCATTCTAACTCTCTATTTATTCATCTTCACTCACGCAAACCTTCCATTTCCTCATCATTACTCATCGAACCAATTCCATTCACCATTCACTCATCCTAACTCATTAAAGGCCTCCAATTTTACTCATCCTCACTCATTCAAATCCTCCACTTCCTCATCCTCACTCACCATTCACACCCTCCCTTCACTCACCATTCACACCCTCCCTTCACTCACCATTCACTCACATGACTCATCCGGGTCACCCACCTTGCGCACGCCGTCGTGGTGATCAAAGTCTTGTTCCTGAAGTTGGGATACGCTTCTGTGACCTGTAGCTCGAAGTACTTCCTTGCAGGTCGTTTCAGGTACCGCTGCAGGTCAACGCCCCAGCTGACTTCCAGTTGGGCCACCGCCTGACCTGCCCCTTCGGCCACCAGGTTGACGTGACCCCATGGGCGCGCGATCTGGGGTCAAGGGGAAGTGGGAAGTTAGTTGGAGGTGTGTGGGGGGAAGGTGTGTGTGTGTGTGTGTGTGTGTGTGTGTGTGTGTGTGTGTGTGTGTGTGTGTGTGTGTGTGTGTGTGTGTGTGTGTGTGTGTGCGCGCGCGTACGTGTGTATATGTATACATCCACACCTATCGAAACCCATGTGGTTACGTGCGTTCATATGAATCCTAACCGCATACCTTTACACCCACACTAGCTTCCTCGTATCCAGCCCGTCATAACGCCCACGCCACTAACCGGGACACCCCTCATGATATCCTGTTCATTTTACCCTCACGATCCCTCTGAAAATCTACGGCACAGTCCCAGCCCGAACCCTTATTCAAAACCAGCTTCGAACTCCGCCTCGAACTCCCTCCCGAACCGACCAACAACCACGCCACTAACCGGGACACTCCTCATGAGCGACAGGGCGTCCCTCCCGATGGAAATGTTGGTCTTGGCGTCGGGGAAGGACGTGGCGGTCATCCGGACGCGAAGGGCGGTCACGTCCCTCAGCCTCGCCCGGTAGCTGTACTCCGCCAGCGCCCTCAGTGCCACCACGGTGTCCTGGGTAATGACGACGACGAGAATAACTTTTAAGGATAAAACAATTATAATTTTATATGTAATTTTATATTCTATGAGGATTAAATGATTGTAATTTTGATTCTTCTTTTATGCGATGTCTATGCTGTCTACGGTTCCAATTTTAAGATAAGAGGTAGAAAAGAATGCCATCAGAGGTAAAAGGAGGAGACAGAGGAGGTGGAACGGAAGAAGACGAAGAAGAAGAAGAAGAAAAAGAAAAAGAAAAAGAAAAAGAAAAAGAAAAAGAAAAAGAAGAAAAAGAAGAAGGAGACGGAGGAGAGAAGAAGAAGAAGAAGAAGAAGAAGAATGAGACGGAGGAGGAGGGGAGGAGGGGGAGAAGGAGGAGGAGGGGGAGGAGGGGGGAGAAGGAGGAGGAGGGGGAGGAGGGGGAGAAGGAGGAGGAGGGGGAGGAGGGGGAGAAGGAGGAGGAGGAGGAGGAGGAGGAAAAGGAGAAGATG